ACATTTTAATAATTTTCATAAGTTTTTCCTTTATTTGGCTGCATAACATGTTTATTGAAATGGGTACAGGAGAAAACATCCACTGGAGAAAACGTCCACTATAGAACTTCCAAGTAAGATATAAGATATTTGATAGATGGAGTTTTTAGGCAATTTGACGGTAAAAAATGAATAATAAGAATTACAAATATTTAAATATTAATATATTGATTAAGTAAAAACAAGAATTATAACAGGAATGATTGACAACAGTGTAACAACATTCAAGAATAAAGGTATTTCAAACTGGTGAATAAATGTCAGAAGCTTTATCAAGTAAGTCCAGGGAGGTAATTGAGGCAATTTCAAATTGTTCCCATAAGCTGAATATTTTGCTTTGAATATTCTGATATGCTTTTCTTTGCTGTCTACAAATTTTCTTTTCACTCAGTAATTTTTTATATAGCTTTATCAGATCAGCTTCTTTTTTCAGTTCATCTAAAAGCAAATAGAATGCAGTGTTACAGCAAAGATTCTTGTTAAGCCTGTGATGCCAGCCTTCAAGACCATTATTTGTCCTTATACAGACCATACCTCTGGTTTATAAAATCCATTTATCCATTGTGTCTCAACATACTCCAATAGAGACTTCATTTCAATAGGACTTATTTCTTTAATAGTCTTAAATGTTGGTTCTATCAGATCAGAGGGCAGGAATGGTAATGCCATTAATTTCTTCATGATTCTATATTCAGCTTTTTTCTCCTTGTGCATCTTACATAATCCTAATTCCTGGAAATAAATATGTCAGTTCTATCTAGAGCTCAAATGCTAAATTAAAGTATTACTTGAATCTTTCTGTATATTGCCTGTGTCCAGTGAAAAACACACCCTTTAATGTTTGCTTCAGGATAAGTGAATGATGGTGCTTTCCAAATAGCTTTTTCAAAGTCTACAACAACTTTTTTGGGGCTATGCCCATTTGTTAAATCTTGTATTGCCTGTTAATTTAACAAATTAGATTATTCAATTTAAAATGCAAAATTATTGTACCTTAAATAATTTCTTGTAGGCTATCTTTCTCTTGGATTGCATAAAAGCAAAAGCCAATGGAATTTGTTTTATTTCTCCATTTTTTTTTATAAATGCATGAACAGAAAAAAGTTGATAAAAAGGGTCTTTCACACATTTAAATGTGCCATCCATAAACCATATTTTGCCTTTAGATAATAATTCAATTTGCTTTGTAGTTGAAAATATTAGTATTCTATCATTCTCCATTTGTATATCCATTTGTAAAAAATCATCAGGAATAAAAGTTTTAGCCAAGTTGAAGTGAATACTTTGAGGTTCAGCTGGTCTAAACTTCTTTCTTGTCCAGTTTGCCAGTCTTGTACAATTATCTAGAGATGGAATAACTTCACTAGAACTATAATGTTTCACCAGAACATCTTCAGCTAAATGTTTTCCTGAACTACTGATATCTTTATTACAAGCATTTTTTAGTTCATTCCTAATCATTATTTTTTTTTCCAGATCAGGTACTCTTTCATGAGAATGGGATAACTTTCCAGGATAAAAACTGTTCCCATGCTGACTATCTGTTGCTGAACATTTGTTTCTTTTGTTCCTAACACTGCATATCCAGAATGTTGTCTTGTTTCTTTTTTCTTTAATATTGTAGCAGAAATTGTTGAAAAGTAGCAAATCTTTTCCTTTCTGGCTCATTCCCTTTAAGATTTTAAATGAATAACTTTCTTTCTCACAATCTGATTTTGGAGAAACTATAAATGAAACTTCCATCATATTATTATGTTGAGCTGGAAGATCTTCAACTAAAACATTGTTTGATTCCATAATACTGCCATTTGTATCATTTCCACTTGAATTTCCACAATGATTTTCACAAACAATAGTTTGCTCATTTCTATTATTTACTGTATGAAAATTTGGTGTTTGACTTATTTTTTCATTAACATATGCACTAGAAGGTAGCCTTTGCAGTGTAACAATGCATTTCTTCATTGATATGTCACAGCAAATGTTACAATAAAATGATTGATCTGTGAAAAAACATAAAAGCATATTTGTAAGGATAGTGACAAAAAACTTAAACAGACCTTTATATTCCAAACATTTCTTGTGTATTTTAAATAAATGACAGCAAAGCTGACATTTCTCATGATTCTGTCTTCCATATATTCTCTCTTCATAAAAGTAACAAATTGGTGCCATGTTCAATTTGGAATCTCTTTTAATAACCAACTGTTTAAATTTAAAAATTAAACAATCAACAACAATGATAAACAAAATGGCTGCTATAAAAATAAAGCTAATTTAGAAATAAATCATTTCAACACAATATTCTATAACTTACTGATATCAATTCTAAAGTTTGTGTTTTGTCTGATGGTTTTCAATAGTGAAATATATTTCAAACTGCAAAAAATTCTGAAAAATTGTAGATGAAATGTGCACAATATTCACTTTCCATGAAAAACATAGAAGATCCCTGAACTGTTTCCTGTCTGGATATCAAAATGACTACCAAAAGTGATTGCATTATGGGAATATATTGGATATATCTCAAAATCAATAATAATTTAAATTTGAAAAAGTATTTTTTAATATTTTCTTCACATAGTGGATGTTTTCTCCATAATTCTATTGAAACATTGAGTTGACATCTGGTTTGACATTCAAATAGATGTCTCAAACAAAAATTTTTTCAGCTTTTTTTCTGTTTTAAGTTAAGTTAATTAGTTATTGAATATTAAAAATTACTGTAATCAAGAAACATAGTGAAATAGGGAAATTAAGGGGAGCAGCAAGAGTTTTAGGAAAGGCACCATCATCAGTAAGCAACATCCTGAAGAATAAGCAGCCAGAAGACAATAGGAGCAGTCCAAAGAAGCTTTCCAACAGAGAGATAGCCAGGATGAAAAGGATTGTGAAGAAACTGGAAGATAACAAGCAAAGAGTGACAGCAGCAAAGATATTAAAGGAATTAGAAGTAGATGTAAGCAACAGAACAATTCAGAGAGAACTGAAAAGACAAAATTTCAAATACAAAAGAGTCAGACAAAGAACTGATTTCACCTCTTAAGATTGTAAATGCAGAAAAAAATATTGCCTCAAAATTATTAGCAAAAATCTAGACTGATCTAGGGTTATTTTTACTGCTAAGGCTATTTTTAGCTAAGTGGACCTGATGATTTTAGGACTTGGACCAGCAATAGTGAAAAGGACTTCAGGGTGATGAAAAATATGGGGAGAGGTGGAGTATTGGTGTGGGGGTTGATATCCTCTGATGGCATATTTGAACTCTGGAGGATAAGCAGAAAGCTGAATGCTGAAAACTATAGCTCCTTCATTGTGGAAGATGTTCTGCCTGTCATAGAAAAAATTGAGGCAAAAATGGGCAGGCAGTAAATCTTCCACCAAGACAATGCTGGCTGTCACACCTCAAGAAAAATGAAAAAAAAGCCTTTAAAAACAATAACATCAAACCCATTGATTGACCAGCAAGGAGAACTGATCTCAGCCCAATAGAAAACATGCGACACCTGACCAGGACAATGGTGTATGATGGCCCATAGTTTGAGGCAGAGGATGAACTGTGGGAAAAGATTAAGAAATGCTGCTATGAGGTTATCAACAGAAATCCACTCTTATTGCCAAGTTTATATTAGGGAATGGGCTGTAGAATAAGCCAATGTATAGAAAGAGAGGGTGGCACATACAAAAATAGATAAAAAATAACATGGATGCGACAGAAAACGGCCCCAAAAGCATGGTTTTACCCTAACCCTAAACCATCACCTAAGTATCCTTAACCATATCCATTTCCCCTAAGCCTTAGATAGGACCCTCCTAACTAGAAATCAATAGATGCCTTTTTCCTCTTAACCATTTCTCAACCCAAAAAGTTGCCTTCAAATATCCTACTTGGGGCCATTTTCTGTTGATCCTATTTAAAATTATTTCAATAAACATGTCATGTGGTCAAATAAGAAAATAAAATAAGAAAATTATGGTAATTCCTATAAAAAAAAGTATGTAAAAACTTACCTAACTGCTATTTTTAAGAAATTTATATAAAATTGCAAGTTTAACCTATTACTAAATACTGAAAAAATAAAAAAAATTATCTTTTTTCATAATGAAAAAGATTTTTAATATTTGGCCAATAAACATTTGAGGTGTTCCAATATTCCTGTCATTTACTTTATATGTTAAAAATTTGTAAAAATTCTTAAATGATAAAAAACACCAAATAAATCAATTGGTGTTTTTAAATATCATTTATCACAATTTGTACTTTGTTGTATTGTAATTGTAGGAATTTCTGCTTCTTCAGAACAGTATTCGTCCTTTTCAATCATTTATTAACTTACCAAAGTACTCAAACAAATAGAACCTTTCAAATTCGTCCACAAGTAGTCTTAAGAAATGTAATTTTGGTAGAAATTAATCAACAAAATCCCAGTATTTCATTTAAATAATATTTATTGAGCAAATGAGTTTCTACAACCAGTTAACAGTTAAAGAACTGAACTGACAAGCTAGGGAAATGCATTTCCTTTTATACATTTCCCAAGCTTGGGTTCAAGTGGTCAAAGGATTACAAAGTTGAAATCTGATGGTCTCATAATTCTCATGTAACAAAAATATGAAAGACTTGTTATATCACACATATAAAATATAATCCTAAGATTAGGGACACATGCCAAACATGTATCACAGCAAACAGGCCTGCCTCATCAGCATCTGACATTTGACATGCATCTTTTCCATGTTCTTTGTTCCTTTGTTAATTCCCAAGTAGCCACCATCTGTTACAGTCAAAGAGTCTATTTCTTACAAAATAGAGTTCTTTCTAAACTACTAAAAGCTAACACTACAAAATAAAAGTCTATCTAAAGTTCCACCACTATAATTCCTATGAAATATAAGTATTTCTATAGTTGCACCAGTCTAATTCCTCTAAAATATAAGTCTTTCTAATGTACCCTTATATCTAAAGTCTAAGTATTGATATATCACTATATCTAAGTGCACACAATTATAAGGAAATGCTGTCAATTTGGACTGTTTTTAATTCATAAAATAACATATAAATTGTTATTTTACCAATTGTCCCCAAGACTTTCCATTTTGCTTTTCAAAACAAGTATGGCTCATACTTGTTCCACTTTATTCAGTTCTAGAATTTGCTGAATGCAATTGGCAAAAATTACAATTTAAAATGCATTTACAGCAAAGATTATCAGATGTCAGATCATAATTTGGTAAACACCAACCACTTTTGCAAAAGGTTAGGACAATTAACCAAGTGAATTCTGCCATTTCTGCAAATCCACACACAACAATCTTCATCTCTCCAAATAGAGTTTTGCAGTTGAATATAGATTTCTCAGGCATAGTTGCTTCATAACTGACTGAAAACTAATGTTGACAAAGGCTAAAACATAATCAATTATCTGATTATTGTTTCTCCTACCTGAAAAGATGATACATTCTATTATAAAAACAAAATGGATGCAACAGAAAACATCCAAAAATGAGTGCTTTTACCTTAACTCTAATCCAGTCCTTCACTATACCTAACCTTTTCCATTACCCCTAACCCTGAGAGGAGACACTCCTAAGTTCAGATCAGTTGCTGTTTTTTTTGCCTAACCATTTCTCAATCCAAATTTTTGTCTGGAAATTTCTCATTTGTGGATATTTTCTGCTGACCCCAGAAAAATTACCTGCTTGTGATAAAATTCAGCCATTCGCTACTAAATATCACTCTATCCAGGAGATTTATAATCTTTTTGGAAGCATTAAATTTGTTTATCTCAGGGACTATTCAAATTGTCTTAAATAGTAATTCTTTTATAATTGATCACTCTGAGATTTGTAAAATATAGGTAAGGTTAAAATGTATTTGTTAGAGACTTTTTGTATTGATTAACTGGTGAGCTAAAGAAATGCTAGACTGTAATACACAGTAGTTTTTTTTCATGTTGACTTGGTATTACAATTACAATACAAGAAAAATCATTCTACAACATTCAATTACATGAGAAGATTGTCTGGAAATTCAAATTAAAAATTGAACAGCAAACATCTCCAATGAAATCTTCTAACATTTTTACCTACTGCTATTACCCTGTTGTATGAATAGTTTATAGTTTGGCCATCCTGGCCCAAAAGATAAAAGCATTGCATAATACAAGTAAAGTAGTTGTTGAAACAAGACGAACAACCCCTGCTTTACCATCCAATGCCCAAGTGTTACATTTTTCTCCTTTACAACACTTTTTGCATTCTTTATTTCCTTCAATTGTTTTACAATTTTCATTCTCATTAGACAATGTGCAAGTTTTATTTGAACATCCTCTTGCAAATGTTATTGTTCCTGAAACTTCTGTTCTATAAGCCCAACAGTCACCAATTCCACAATCAATAACTTTTACTTTATCAGTTGAATTCTGAATTCCAGATAAATCATTTCCACAGTCTGCCTTATTTCCCTTACATTCAAAACATTTTCCTAGAATGAAATGACAATGTGTTGAACAAATGCATTAAATTTTTTAATCAAACCTACTTGCGCATTCTCTGTTGAAGTTGAAAAGATAGAATCCTGATTTACACTTTGAACAAGTTTGACCATGTGCACACAATTCACATCCAGTTATTGAACATGGAAGACAAGCTAATTCATCATCTTGTAAAGTGAATCCTCCACTACAACTATGACATTTTGCTTTTCCACTTGATGGAGTTGGTCCACAAGTTGCACAATTAGCAAATGCAGCATCTGAACATAGTAAACAAGTTCCATCATGTTTTAGTGAATAAGTATTTGATATGCATTTGGTACACCTTGTTGTCTTATCTGCATTGGCTGTACATGTTTCACAATTTGATGGACATGGCACACATGTTCCATCTGATGCCTTGGCATATCTGTTATAACACTTTGTACATTTGTATTTTTGATTATATGAACATTCTTTACAGAATTTCGGACAGTGACCACAATCATTGCTGTTCAAATAAAACTTATTTGAACATGTTAAACAAACAAGACCACTTTCACTTGATGGAACAGAACATGTTTGACATTCTCCAATACCACATAATTGGCATAAAGATCCTTTTAAACCATATGTTGCAAGACAACTTGTACATTCAACTGATGCTCCATTGAGAGAACAGACACTGCAACCAGTTGGACAAGGGGAACATAAATTATCTGATGTTTTATAATATTTTCCAATGCAAGATGAACAAGTAAATTTGTTTGTTGCAGCATCAAATGAACATCCACTACAACCAGTAGGGCATGTTTTACATTCGCCATTCAAAAGTATTGAAGTTGCTGTATTACAAGATGAGCATATTATCTTTTCATTACTTCTAACAGATGTCAGACAACCAACTTTATTCTTGTAACATTTTTGATTACTTGAATCAAGGAAATAACCAGAATTACATTGTCCGGAATCACATTTATCTTTTCCATTTGTTTCGCAACTTTTACAATTTGGATCACATTCTAAAAAAATGTAATTTGTGTGTTAAACTTCATCTATAATAGAAAGGGGGATAGAGAGAGAGATAATAATTAGAAAGAAATATCTTTATACTTTCACATGTTGCAGGTGAAATAGCACTGTTTAATTTATATCCTGTTCTGCATATCTTTGGTATAAGGGTGTCAGTTGTTGGTGTTTGATATGCACATCTTGAAACTCCGCTTCCTGTACAAAGTATGCAAGTTCCTTCTGTTCTATGTCTGATGTAGCCTTCATTACAGCCATTTGGTATGCATGTGGTGCCATCCAGACAGAAATCACATCCAGATTGGCATTGTTGACAAGCATCACTATTATCCATATAATATCCAGAGTTACATTTCAAACATTTTAGATTTTCACCAATTTGTTTAATACAAATATCACAACCTGTCAGGGAAGTGCATGTATCACATTTAAAATCAATATCTCTCAGACCCCCAGATTGACATCCAAATGTGAGACATAGTGCTCTTGTCTGATCATCAGGATCAATTCTACAATCAGAGCACACCTCTGGTGACTGTGGACATTGAATACAAAGCCCAATATTATTCAATGTATAACCAGAAGAACAAACAGAACATTTATTATCAGTTGTAGCAGAAGCACCAGATGTATCTATTGTACATGTTGTGCATCCTGTACCACATTGCATACATGAAGGATTTGTTCCTGGAGTTGAAGATGTGAGCAATGCATATCCACTGTCACAGTCAGAGCAAGCTGATACTTGATTAACAGGAGAAGTAGCTAAGTTGCAATTTTTACAGTTGGCAGTTGCACCACCAGGACCAGTGTTACAAGCAACACATGCTGATTTATCAGCATTCAAAACAAAATTTGCATTGCATGTTTTGCACTCACATGTTGCTCCATTCAGATGTACCTCTGAACAACCAGTTTTGCCAGCTGTTGTACAAGAAATGCAATCATCTCCATTGCTATTTAAGAATCCAACAGCATCACAATTACATGTGCATGTTGTTGAACCAGCAGCAACTACTTTCATTCCTCCAGTACAAGGTTTTGAACAAGCTATGCATGACAATCCATCTTCAGCTAAAATATTTGGAGCTGTACATTCAGCACAGGCTACTATGTAATCACCATTTTTAAGTTTTAATGTATGAGTAGCACAGTTAGGAATCTCATCATTTTGGGTACATCCTGTCAATATAGGATGTTTGTGGTATACCTTTCCTGCTCCATCAGCAGTACATCTTCCACACATACATACACCTCCTGAAGATACAGCATATGCACAATGATCTAATGAAGCAACAGTACATGCTATACAGTCATATTTTGTTGGAGAAAAATCTAAAATATATCCAGGATTACAATTTGAACATCGGCCAGCATTTGCTGGGGTAGGCATGGGTTGTGTGGGATAATATATTATGCAATTGGATGTTGCTCTTGCTTCTGGAGCAACTGTAACTAATGTGGTGAGATGAGAAGCTAATATTTTGTTTGTGTCAGAAAAAGCACATCGTACAGGGCCACCCATAGGATCAGATGCAGAATAATTTTCTTTGCAGCCAATTATTCCTGGATGACAAACATTTGCGTCTAATATTTTATCATTAATACATCTTTTGCACTCCAGGGAAGCACCATTAAAATGTTGTTCGCAATCAGTTATGGGAGTGGCTGGACTAGCAGCAACACAATCTCCAATTTGATCACCTGTATTTGGAACAGCTGTTCCAATTGCAAATGTAGCAGAGCACTTAATACATTTGCAATCTCCATCAGTTGCTGGGTCAACAACTGTTGCCCATTTTGTGTCACAATTGGGCACTGGAGAGGTACACGTAGATGTTGGTGTTTTACAGTCAATACCACTTTTTGTTGGATCAGTACAAGCTATACATATTATTGGTTGGCCAGTTGGTTTTATACAATCAGAACAACCAGAAGGGCATGATATACAATTTACTGATTCCAAGTAATATCCCTTAGTGCATTCAAAACAACCTATCTGTCCAAATGGCAAACTTGGTGAAATTATACTTTTCTTACAGCCAGTAACAATTGCTACATGAAATGATTAATAGACATTTTATTGGAAATTTGAAGTTAAAATAACAAATATAAACATACGTGAGCATGTTACTTCATCAAATGGCAAATATGGATACTTGCAAAGTGAAATAACACTTGATGCATATGTTCCCTGACAAAAAAAAGAATTTGGAATTGCCTCAGCACAAGCTGTAAAATGCAATAAAAACATTATTAGACATCAATTGCCTCTATACTGTATATATTACCTTTGCACCTTTGACTTCCTGTAGTTTCTTGCAAAACAGTAATAAATGGTGATAAAGTTATATCACCAATACATTCACCTGATTTACATCTACAAGTACTTCCATCAAGTTGAAATGTTTTACACTGAGGCCTGGCAATATCACAGTCTGTCAAATATTATACAGTATTTTCATAGTTTTACTCTAGAAAGACTTCAATCTAATATAAATACCATAACATCCTTTTATCATACTGCCACCTACTTCTACTGATACAAATTGTTTTGAACCTTTACATGTTTTACATTCAACATCTCTCTTATCTGCAGTTAGTTGACAGTCTTCGCAATCTGTTCCACAATTTTTACACACTCCAGCATTTATTCCAGCTAGAATTACAACACTTCCTGAAGGACAAGATCTACAAAAACAGGCTTCATTTTCATCATTCACTTTTTTGGCTGCACACATTGAATCAGTAGGACAACTTGTAGCACAAGTTTTACTTGAAAATGAAAACTTTTTGTTATTTGAATTGACTGCTTTGGAGGCACAAGGAGATCTTCGACATTCCACTTTGTCACCAATCACTTCACAATAGTCACAGTTCGAAATTGAACATGACATACAAGAATCAATGGCTCCACTATTTGCATTATATTTAGGTGCATATTTTTCACTACATTTTAAGCATGTTAAAATAGAACCTCTCTTTTTACAGTAGTCACATCCAGAAGGACAGGAAACACAACTTCCAGTATCATCATCAAAAGCAAATCCTTTTTGACATTTTGAAGCATAACAAATTGGTGAAGATGCAGAAGAAGATTTGAAATAACATTTTAAACAATTTCCAGGACAAGCTGTGTCAAAAAACATTAATATCAATGAATTATAAATTTGGGATAAAGTAATTTGACTGACCTATACATTTTCCATCACTTTTCCTTCCCCATGATTTTCCACCTTCATTTTCAACACATGAATGACTTGCATCTGTTCCACTGCATTCTGTCCTAGAATTTGATGAACTCCAAGAACAGGCATTACAATTATCAGGACACTTTGAGCACAAGTTGTCAGAGTTGAGAGCATATTTTGATGCACATCTGCCAGATTTACATACCAGTTTACTACCAGAAACTTGACATTCTAGACAATTTTCTGGACATCTATCGCATCTCTTTGGATCAACTACTGAATAGTCAACTTTACATTTTGTGCATTTTACAATGTTATTAGTTTCTTGACAAGTGTCACAGTTTCTTGGACAGGCGGAACAGGAACCATCTTTTAGATAATAATCACTTTTACAGGTTTTACATTTATTGATTCCATTACTAGCATCACATTCAACACATGCTGAATGAATTGAACTACATTTCTCACATTTTTTTGATGATGAAAGAGCATAGGCTTTAGAAATACATTCTGTACATGTATCTTTATCAACACACTTTTTACAACCAGAAATTGCAGTTGAGCATAATTTGCATGTATTAATATTATTTATTGTTTCTTTATAAGCATTTGTATCGCAAGAGCTACAACTGACACCAGTATCTTTGTTATAACTGCAAGATTTGCAGTAAGATAGACAAGCTGATAGAGAATATTATTAATGTATAAATGTATAAAAAACTTCAAAATAAATATATATTTACATATACATCCAGTGTCTTTCTTTACAAATCTATCCTCACAACTTTTGCAATCAGCTTTTGAAGTTAAAGAGTTCCAACTGCATTTAACACAGTTCGATGGGCAAGGTATGCATTGCTTAGTTACATCATTTATTGCATAGTTAGAGTAACAGTCAAGACAAGCTGTTGCACTTGTACAGTTTCTACATCCAGTTGAGCATTCTTCAATCAGATTAAATTATAAATAAATAAGTATTTTGAAAGGTAAAATGAACTGTTGTCAAAATACCTGAGCATTTTCCACTGTCCAAAAAATAGTTGTCAATGCATTGAGAGCATATTGTTGCATCATTTTCATTTGATACATCAGTTTTTAGTGAACATTTTCCTTTTGAGCAGAATTTGGGGCATTCTGTTTTTGTCAAGATTAACTGTCATATGTTGTTTTTTGTGCATGCCTTTTTATTTCATTCTATAAACTCACCAAAACATTTAAGTTGATCTGAAGAAGGAATTCTTCCACTAGAGCAAATTCCACATGTTGTTGTTCTAGTTCGAGATTGTCCAACTTCACAATTATAAACATCATTGTTTGGTACTGTAGCCGATCTTGAATCTATTATTGATATTTAATTTATAGCTATTGTTTACTTGAGAGAATATAATTTATGAATAAAATCTATAAACTTACATTGATAGGCCAGAGTGAGCAGCAGGGCAATAATGAAAAAGTTCATTATTATTATGATATGTAAGAGGAAATGATTGATACAGGTAAAGTTAAAGATCTTAAATATATGTCTGATCAAGATAATACTATTAAATATAGATTGAATTTTACCAATGTCAAAGACCTGAATTTACCAACCAAAAAATTAGCTCCTTTTTTATAATCCTCAGTTAATACTGTAAACAGTAATTATTCCATTATTCAATTTACAAAAGGAGATTATTTCTTTCATTTAGTTCTATTCTTCTCATTTGTCCAAGAAGAAATATCTTAAGAGATTATTTAACAATGTATGGATTAAAAAACGGTTTTGTCCTAATTGACGACAACATTAGAAATATTGCTATTAAAATTGCATTGAACCTTTATTGCAATGAGAAGATTAAAACACAGTTGTTTGCTTATGAAAATTTAAAAAAATAAAGTCATTCAACCAAGCAAGAGCAATTAGAGCAATTGAATTCCACCAATTGTTGACATAAGAAAGACGGAATTTAGGCCAAGAATGTTTGTGGATTAGAGAAAACTAAACAATGTGATAATAAATCAGGTGATTTATTCGGATACAGTCCTCCACCATATTAAGAAATACAACTTTAAGATAAAAGCAGAATCAGTACAAAATGATAAAACTTTCATGATATTTTAGGCTTAAAACTACTACTCTACAGAACCTATACCAGTACTACTTAAAATCTACTTAAGAAAACAAACGCAATAACTTAAATGTCTAATGAACAGAATGTTATACTCTGTGTTTGCTAGTGTGAGTCAGTGAATGTATGTCAGTATGTTAGCATCACTTAAAGGGAGAGCTTGACTTAGCCATAGCTAGGACAGTAGATAGAGAACAATGTGGAACAAACGTGGCACCACGAATGAGCACAGTCAAGCACCCAGTTAAGGGACACTAGCAAAGGTATAAAAGAGAGTGAATGTATCCAAAACATAGTGAGAAAGCTGCGAAATAATTTTAGACGGAACTGTCCGCAATTCCGTACTCCAAGCGAAAAATAATCTTATAAATCTAATGTTCTAAAGAAAAACTAGATCTTTTAAAACAGTTGATTGACAAGTAAATGTTAGTTACTACATTACAGTTTAGCTTTGCTATGCTTTAAGCATTAGCAAAACAAGTCTAATCCCTTGATTGGTATGTTGACAACAAAAAATGTAGGGTATTGTCATGTTATCAAAAATAAAATTTTGTTAGTAAAATAAAGGTATTTATCCTAAATATGTCATTGAGTAATTTTTGGCAAAAGGCCTAAAAGTTATTTGATGCTGAAGCAACTGAGCACCACAATATATCATTACAGATGTTAGGATGGTGATTTCTCACACACTGCAAACATTTGAGAGTGATGATCAGGATTCATCAAGACATATTTAGCAGGCTGAGTTTGAAGATCAGTGGGAGATTTATTAATACCATTCTTTTCAAGAAGTTTACTCAATGCAACAAAAGCGCAAATATTATACGCCTCTCTAAGAGGCATTCACTTTGATCACTTGCATTTTATTGTCCATACAAAAAGTATTTACAATCTCATTATTTGATCCAATTTTAACCCATGCAATCTCAACACCATTCATAACCATGTCTTCATTCATTAAATAATCTTCATTTTCTACAATTTTCAAGTTGACATTAATTGGAGTTGAACCACATATTGTGCAATTTGCAAAAGCAGCTTCTGAGCATAGCTTACAAGTTTCATTAGTTTGGAGAGAGAACTGATTTATTCTACCTTTTGTATATATTGTCCTCTTATCTGAGCTTGCAATACAAGAAATGCAACTTCCATCAAAAGCTTTTGCGTATCTATCACCAAATGTTGTGCAATTATATTTGCCATTGTAGGCGTATTGAGGACAATTGTCAGGGCAGCAACCACAATTATCAATATTTAAGTTAAATTTTTTGGAATAGGTTTTACATACAAGCGAATTTTCATAATTTGAACATGTTTGAAGTGGGAAGACAGGATGAACAGTACATGATTTACGTCCCAGTGGACATGGACAACAGATATTCTATAGAATCAACAGTTCTATAGAATGGATCCAAGAATGAATTGTAAGTGAACTTGCTATCTTGACTATTGAAAGAACATCGAGAACAGCCAGCAGGACAAGTTTTACATTCTCCATCTGACAGGACAGATGTAACTGTATTGCAGGATGCCCTTAAAATTTTTCCATTAGTTTTGGACAAAATTAAACATCCCTGTTTGTTTTTGTAACATTTTTGATCAGTGACATCCAAAAACTAGCCATCATTACACTGTCCAGAATTGCATTTATCCTTTTTATTAGTATTACAGATTTTGCAGTTTGGATCACATTCTATATAAAAAATATGGAAAAAATTAATTTGTAAATGATAATTTCTATTATTTTTTAGACATAGAATACAAACTATTGCAAACTGATGGAATTACATCTGTGTTCAGACTATAATCAGTCTGACAAATCTCTGGAATAAGTACATCTAAAGTAGCATCCATGTAGGAACACCTCACAACACCTGTTCCGGTACTCTATAGACATTCTCCATTAGTTCTATGTCTGATAAATCCTTGTTTACAGCCATTATGTATGCAAGTTGAACCATCAATACAGAAGCTACATCTATTAACACAAGCATTACAGGTTGATAGAAACCATCATTACATCTCAAGCAGATAAATGTGTCCTTGATACTTTTCATGCAAATTTCACAATTGTTTATAGAGAATGTTAAGTAATTAAAATCATTGTCTGTCAGAGCACCAGTAGCACAGCCAAATGAAAGATGACAGCACTAATAGATATATGTAGGCTTTATCTTATTAACTCAAGTAATTAAATATTATTGTTAAAATAAAAAATAAAACTAGCCATTGTAAAATGCTTATGTCTTTGTAAATGATCAACTTGTCCTATAAAAATTGTTACATCTTATGCAATTTTCTAGAAGTAACAACTTTTCTTTGACTGAAATGTCACTTTTGATTTTGTGAACAAAGGAATTGGTGAACTATCAACCTTTGAAAGAGTATACAAACCCTACAGTTGACAGTTAACCATTAGCTAATTGTTTAAACTTACTTGTTAGAACTAGCAACTCATTTACTCAATATATATTCTTTGGGCAAAATACTCGTGTTTTGTTGATTTATCTCTACCAAAATTACATTTGTTAAGCCTAGTGATACTAGAGATGTAAAGTTGACATCAGGTGATTTCATTTATTTTTTTTTATTCAATTATGATACTATTTGAAAAAGCTTGGTAAACCTTTTTGGCCTTTGTTTACAGAAAAATCCTCTATGCTAATACATTATTGACTAGAGGTAATATCATGTTCCCAGGTATTGCTGAGAGACAGAAGAAAGATTTAGAATCATTAGTGCCACCTACAATGTAAATTGATGCTTTTGCTGAACCTGAAAAGCAAAATTCAGCGTGGCTGGGGGGGTGCCAATTTTACATCTTTATCTACTTTTCAGCAATTGAGCATCAGCAGGATGATGAATCTGGGCTATCTATCGAAAAAAAATGCTTTTAAACAAAAACGTTTTTTTTTTAGTTCTTTTTATGTTAATATAAAAAAATCGTTTAGATTTTCTTTTTATAATATAGAACTTGTATCCTGATCAAGAAAGTTAGCAACTTAATAGGGTTAGGGTTAAAAAAAACTTTAAAAAAGGTACTAATTACTATTACGCCAAAGTACTGGTCCAAATAGAACCTCAAGTTCGTCCACAACTATAAGCAAATGAATGATATTTGTCCAAAGTTTTATATCAAACTGTCAACAAAAAGCCAGTATTTTCCAAATAAGATATGTATTGAATATTCTGAGCTTTTATTCCTAAGCAAGCGGTTAGAAAACTAAGCTAACAACTGTTAAATTTGTATGGTTTATATACTTTCCTAAGAGTTTAAGAGTTCACAATTTCAATTTGAACAATGCAAAGTAACGTTTTAACACAATTGAAAGTTCTAAAAATTGTTCCACTTTTAATTGGTTTCATTCATCCTGAGTAATTAGGTCTTGACTAGCTTGTTTAACAACTAGAAAAATTGCTAGGACCCTGCTCCCTGCCAACAGCCAGATTGTCCATGCCTTTTGTGACCTCTAGGCCTCTTAGAAATTGTTAAGCAAAAACTCTAATTGGTCTACTCTTACCACTCAATAAAACTATATCGATCTGTCATTTTAGAAGATGTCTCCCAATGCATTGACAATAGGCGTCTTTTATACCTTTTGGCAAAGTCACAACTGTTTTCTTAAAAGAGGCAGTGGCTAATCGAAATTTATAGAGAAAATTTTTCTTTCAACAAAATATTTTCTTTCCTTTATCATATCTTGTGTAGAGGAAGGACATAGACGACTGAGGTGTTTGGCATCATTAGAGGAAACCATTTATAAAAACCCTAAAGAAGCCCATATTTCGTTCAGCATGAATAGCATGGGAATTAAAAAATGATCAATTCACTTTTAAATGTTTTAAATGCTCTTAATCATTCAAAAAAGAATTTAGAGAAAATTGATATTGGAGATTGTAATTTAAACGAGGAAAAAGGTAAATGTTTAGCAGACTTGTTGAAAAATTGCTGCAAAATAAAAGAAATATATTTGTGTGGAGATTTGGAAATTAAAAATGTATTTTCAGATATTTGCAATGGTCTTATTGGATCTAAAAATACATTAGAAGTGATATCAATTGGCAAATATGATTTGAATGAAAATGATGGCAAAAATCTGGTTAATTATTGTCAAATTGTATTAAGATAAAAATAAATGATTTATATGGATATCCAAATTTGTTAAATTCAATTTCAGATATTTGTGATCAACTTCTTCACTCTAAAAAGACTTTAGAATTTATTTCTATTGCAAAATTGTGATTTAAATGAGGAAAGTTGTAAATGTTGGGCAAAATTATTAAAATGTTGTTCTAACATCAAAGTATTAAGTTTAGATGGTAATAGAAATATGGGAAATGGATTTTCAGTCATTTTTGATGGGCTCATCCACATAAAAAATACATTAGAATGTATATCAGCATTTTGGTGTGATTTTAATGAAGAACAGTTGAATTAAATAGTAGCCCATTGTCAAAATCTACCAGATTATTTCCGATATTTTAAAAAATTTTTAATACATTTGAGTAGTGTCAGTTTGAAAACTGTTTCTTAAATTCTTGTATGTGCACACATAGGTTTTAATTGGTAAAATGCGTAAATGAAAATAAGATAATCTTTCATTATCAATTTTATTAACACATTGTTTATTTTCGCCATTTTTTGCCTGAGAGGAATCTTTTAAAATATTATCATGGCAACCATTCAGAAATTCATAGTCAATTTCTGACATCAACATCTTTTAGTGTGTTTGAAGATGACACTAATCCATTTCATATTTCTCCGAGTGATATATTCGTGAAACCATTTAATAACAAATTAATGTTTCTTATATGGGAACACTTTTTCAATAATTTTCTCAAAAAGTATGCTTTTCCTTCATTTAGATTGTAGTGATCAACATTAATGTCTTTAATGCATTTGATAAGGCTTCTATTTCTTCACATATTTCTGAAAAATTTTATTTGATGATAATTTAATGTTGCTTAAATGTGAATGCTTTTCCAATAACTTGTTCAAATAATAAGTATTTTCCTCCTTTAAATTTTATTGACCAATATCAATCTTCTTTAATGTGTTAATTGTGTTCATTTTACAGTGATTTATGTCAATCTTTTGTAATGTATTACAAGAAGATTCTAATTGACAAATTATTTGTTGCAATGATAACTTATTAAAATAATTTGATGCCAAATTAATGTTCTCCACATTTGAACATTTATTTTGCGAATTTTCCAAAGAAAAAGCTTTTCCTTTTAAAAATGAGCTATTATGACCAATACTTAATAGAGTTTATATAAATAATACTTGCTATATAGTACAAGTGTTGAAGTAGATGTTGCCTCCAGGGTAGATGGTACCGAACTGCCATAATCAACCCCTTTTATAGGCACAGGATAAGATGTTACATAACCAAACACATTGAAAACAACAAGTGTTTATTTACATAAATGTGATGTAATAACTAACCCTGAGGTTTCAGCTACACAAAGCTGTGTTTGTTGTGAACAATCGTTATCTTGGGTTAGACCCTTGTTGTTGACAGCTAAAGCATAAACAACTGATAAGGAATTGTATGAAAGCAGGGTGTAGGTAATAACAGGTATTCAATCCTGAATCAACCCTTTTATTGAACAGGTCTAGTATTACTTTAGAATACAGTTATAATATTCTTACGATTTTGTACCTTATTCATCCTCCCTCAATTCTACATCTCACTTCCAAGTGGCTTACTCCTAATTCGGTTCTATTTGGACCAGTACTTACCTACAACCCCCAGCAGGTAAGTACAATTATATAAATTTACTTTGTTAGAAGATGATTTCTCTTAATCTCTCTGTAGTTTTAACTTTATACCTGTAAAAAGTTAAAAACCAACATATATGTCATAAATTTTGAATATTTTCTTGTTATTATAGTAAAATACAGAATCAACAGAAAATGTCCCCTATAGCTATATAAAAACAGAATTTGAACTTTAAAAAATGAATGATGTACAATTTATTGGAGGATTAAAAAGTCAAGTTTTAATAAACAGTGTACTGCTCTTGCTGGCAAAATCTATGCGTTTGCAAGTTATAACAATACTGGTTCTACTCGAACCTTTAAACAAATGTTTAAATTAAAATGGTTTATTCACAATAATAATACTTAAGCAAGTAACAATATGAGAATTCAATAGCAGAGTAGATAGTTCGTAATAGCAGGTTGCCAAATTACCAAACTGTCTTCTAATGTTGAGGAGTAGATGGATGGTTCCAGTGGAGGTTGTTTCCAGATGATTTTCCCAGGTCCATGGGTCCAGATGGAAGCTGCATGCCAAATGAGAATAGTGAGGATTTATATACTTTTGAGGTTTGCCTCTGACATCCAATCATCACTTTACAGTTGCCGAAATGTGTAGTTCATATTTATGTTTAGTAAGAGGATGTTACAAGGTTGAACATTTAGGAAGGTTAATTAAATTATAACTTGGCCAAACCTTTATTGGTAATTAAAGATGAGCCTTCAAGCTGACTAATCAGACTTATGTTTGGCCAATTTTATAGCATTTTCTTGTATAGGTTTTAAGATGTACATGTTGTATAAGTTGCATAAAATAGTAGAGTTCAAGCATGTAAAATATAACCAAAGTTGTACAACAGATAGGAAATGAAATTTTCGACATTGCAAAGGATTTGAACAGTCATCAAAATATATTAAAGAATCTCCACTTGTCTTGGTGTAACTTGAATGAAGAACAGAGCAAAATGTTGGGAAATTTTACTTTTTTCTATTTTAATTGTAGAAATTTCTGGTTTGTCAAAAGAGTACTCATCCTCTGCAATCAGTTACCAATTCAATAAAGTATTGATCCAAGTAAAGCCTTTTAGGTTCACCCACACTTGAGTATTATGACTAATATTTCAATTTCTTTTTATTAAATATGAATTTTTAATTATTCTGAAAAACCACACAAGAACATTGTTATTTTCGTAATTTTATTGGTATTGGCAAGTTAAAAACATTTGGTAAATTATGACCAATGTTACTATTACCATTAATGAAGAACCAAAAAGTCTTATGGGTATCTTTCCTCAAATTATCCAGCCACTCACCTTGCTGAGAATTAAGATTGCAATTTTCTGAGAAAAACATCAACAGTGATACATGTGATTGTTTTAAACTCTGGCAAATGGTTTTTAAACCATTACCCATATTGGTGTTATTGTCTAACACCAAGGTAGAAATATTAGGACACTCTTTTAAAAAATGACCCAAAATGTGGCACTATTCCTCATTTAAATTGCAATCTTTTAGGTAAAGCTTTTCAAGAATATTTTTAGAGTACAACAAACCATTGCATATATCTTGAATGGATGATCCAATTTCTTCATTTCCACTTAAATCAACCCTAACTAATTGTTGACATGACATAAAAAATTTAGCCATCGCTTCAAATGTGCTTTGATTGAGATTAGATCATGAATATTCAAAATCTGCCAACATTGTGAAGATGATAATCTACAGCCACATTCGATGGCAGTAATATCTTTTTTCTTCCATCAATATTAACTCTTATTTTTGCAAGCACATCACCAAAAGAAAAGACTAATCTCTTTTGAGATATTCCACAAAATCTGTTGAATGAGAATATATGACTCTTTCTGAGTAGAAAACAATTCATAGTTTTTTAGAAGCTCAAAGTTCAAATTTTCTTTTACCATCTAATTAATTATCTATTCTACTGCAATTTTAATAGTGACAACTGTAATATGACTAGTTTTCAAATGGTTCCCAATTTCGAACAAATTATTGCAGTTTATATTTATCTTTTCATTTCAATTATATAAATGATTTGATTAAAAATTCCAGATATATTTTCAAAAGAATGAAAAAAAAACCAAATGAAATATTCGAAATGAAGTATAAAGATAGAGAGTATAATCTTGAGTGGAAAGAATTTCTATTAAACTTGCCAAATCGAAATGAACATTTATGAGTCAAGGGCTCATATATTACTAATATATCTAATATTTATGATTGATCCTGCTGCAGATGTTCATATAATTTTTGAGAATTCATTCACATCTATAACAACTATAGGACTTGAGAGAAACGTCTTAAAGGGGTGGGGTAGTTGTACACATACATTCGTCAGCTGTATCTTACAATAGATAAGTAGTATTCAACCAGTGTTGTACTGTGCAGATGGCACTGTATTAACCATAGTGAGATGGTTATAATGGAAAAATAGAACCAACTCACCATGGGCACTAAAGCAAACAGAAACAGATAATTTGAGTGACTGCTGCTCTTTGCTTTTGCTTTCTAATTGATATGAGTAATCAGAAATCTGAACTACTCGTTTTTCAGGAGGATGATGTCAGATGTGCTGTTTGTCTAGAATCATGGTTGAGCAATAACCCAAGGGTGCTTGAATGTCGGCATATATTTTGCAAGGATTGTTTGGTTGGACTTCCAGATCCATTGACTTGTCCTACATGTAAACAAATAGAAGTAAAGAAAATAGAATATTTAAAAAGGCCATTCTATTTTGATGAAAGAAATATAATGGTCATAAAAAAAAGCTGTGTTTACCATAAGAGAGAGGCCATATTTTATTGCAATAAGCATGAACAAGAAGATCTTTGCTCTGAATGCATTGAAAAAAGCCATCCTTTTTGTAATATTTCAACAATGAAAAAAAAGATATCAAAGGCTCCTTTCAGAATTGAAGAAAAAGAAGAAGATGAAAATGAAGAAAACAATCTAGACTTACTATCATGGAGAAAAGAGCGTAGACAAATGCAAGATATGGCGAAAATGGTTTTTAGGAAACAATTAGAAACTATGATAGAGGAAAGTAAACAGCAGTTTAAAATTGCGACAGCCATTAAACTTGGTCATAAATTGAGAGAACTGCAGATGACGCGCGAATTGGAGACACAACAACATTTTCAACATTTACACAGGATAGCAGAACAGGCTAGCCAGAGATTACTAGAGACAACTGAAGCTATGGAGGATAAAAGAAGAAGTAAAAGAGAACAGCAAGAGAATTTTCTCACAGAGATGCGGAAGAGAAGAGAAGCAATAGAAAAAGAAAAGTCAAGTGTTTGTACAATGCAATAGTTATTTTCTGGTTTGGTTCAAACTGGTTTAAATCAAACTTTGATTGAAATTGAATCTAGTTTAAATAAAACGCAGATTGAAATAATTATACAATTACATTTGGAAGCAATGTTAAAAAAATATTCAATTATGTTCATGCCAGATATTTAGTATTCAAAAATGTATTCAAATAATAGGGATGTTGTTGAAAACAACCATAGTTTGGTGGTTTTACTTAACCCTAACCCAACACCGTACCCTGTTTCATGTACTTCAGTGTTGCTAACCGTTGGTTTGAACTTGCCTAATTACAGATTAATTGCTTAAAAAATTTCCTAACCCATTCCTAACTCAAAATATTATTATAGGTAACCAATGACAACAGCTTTTATTATAAAAACAAATACTTTACATTGAAGACTCAAAAACACACCTTCATTATTCCCATCTCTATCGAATAACCGAGTTGTTCCCAATTACAATTGGTAAACAAAGTCTATTTTTAAAAATGAGTTTAAGATTTTCAGATAATTTTCATTCATTTTAAAAACGTCGAAAAGCAGTTGATGATATGGATTATGATGCATTGAACTCAATTTTAAAGATAGCATCAATAAAACCAATTTGCTATTCATTAAATAATGAACTGTCAAAGGCAAACAAATTGATGGACAACCTAAAATCAATCAGAAGTTTACAGTACAGAATTCTTTAACTGGATCAGAGATGTATAAAATTAAAATTGCACCCTAGTATTGTACTCAGGGCTAATCAGATAATATCTTCAATAAATTTACAAGTAAAAGAAGCCAGTACAGGTGCAGCCGCATTCTTTCTTTGGATTAGTCATAATATTTCAGTTTATAAAAATGTGCACAAAGATAGGATTTCAAAATTTCAACCTGCTGGCATTGCATTTCAAAAGTGGATGTTTGGGATAAAATAGGCCTACAGATAGACAATTATATTTGATTTTGATCAATTGATGAAAAACAAGAATCATTCGCATAAAGAAACTTTAACATTTTTGGTGGTTTCTCACATATTTCAAAAATCTCAAAAATTCCATTTCCACTAAAAAATTATCTGATAAATTTATCATTTCAATTTTTGAACATTTTTTCAGAAGACTTAATAACTTTGTGCATTGTTCTTCATCTAATCTACAGGCTCTAACATCAATAATCTATTTAGTAATAGAATGAGGAATTTGGTCTTTAGTTCTCATTCAATCGATTATGGAATCCCTCCACATTTTATTATTATTAGTTCTAATTGCATTTTAATACACTGGCATATACAGTGCGCAGCAATATATTCCATTAAATTATCTACAGAATAGCGCTATTTGCAACCTAGCATTGATATTACTGTTTATTAATCTTTAAATTTATGAATTTAAACTAGAAGCAGTTGAATTAAATAGGAATTATGCTTTAAATCAAAGTTAAGATTTGATTTACTAATCAGCAGTATTGTACACACAATACACAATGTTTATACATGTCTGCCATTAGGATGAAAGTAGACCTATCCCAGTCTGATAAAAGGACTAACAGAGTTACTACAACTTGGAATAAGGGAAGATGTTGGGAAAAAAATCAATAGTTCCTTCAAGTTTTGGATTTCATCCAGGATACACTTACCCAGCATGACAAACATATTATCTATGCAAATAAAATGGGAATTGATTCAACAATGTCAGCAAAGGATCATTTTTTCTCTTCTTGGGCAAGAACTCCTCTCAGAACTGTTTACTTTAGTGCCTGTGGTGAGTAGGTTCTATTTTTCAACTACAACCATCCTACTATGGTTAATACAGTGCCATCTGCACCTTCTAAAAAAACATCTTTCCTGTTTTTAACCACCTGCAATCCATCATTATTGTATTTTTTTAAATATTCCTGAAATAAATCAATATATTTTCAATATATCTACCTTGATTATCACTCTGATAAAGAAGATTCTAGTAATTGTATAGTTCAAAACATTTCTTCCACCATTTTACCAATGAGTAATACTCAAACAGTAACTATATACACGAACAAATGTGTGAGTCATACCTTTTGGAGAATCGAGATATAAAACATTTAGTTATATAGGAAGAATAAAATAATAATTGAATAGAATTACATAGGTTCGTAACGAAACACTGCCTGAATGAAAGATTATTTCTCAATCTCTGTGGAGTGGTATTAGACCAAAAGAATTAAAATGTCTGAGAGTTTTCTAATGAAGGAAATGATGGAAATCAAGGAAAGGGAAAATCAAATAGTTAGACGAGAAATTGAACTTGTTGCTATGTGTCAAAACGAAATCGCAGCTATAGAAATGCATGATAAATTAATGAATTATGGTTATCAAAAACAGTTGGATAGTTTGAAAAAATCACATCAAGAGCTAATGAAAATAATTAATGAAAAAAGAAAAGCTTCAGATAGAGAAGATGAGAAACTGTTGGAGAAGTATGACAACGAATTAAGACAAATGCAGAAGGCCGTAAAAGAATTTCATAAAAAACAATCCAGAATGTGTGTGATATCTTGATGAAATTTCTGAATTTCTCTTATAATTTAATACAATATAAGAATTCAGCACAAGGATAAAAATGGTAAAAATAGGGGGGTCATGGAAAACGTCAATAGTACTATGAAAAATACTCATAACCTAAATAAAAAGAATATAAATATCAACTATAAAAATAAAAATTAACAATTGCAAAAAGTATACCAGTTTTCTTTTTTTTATATACTAGTTTTCAGTATGTTATTTGTCTTTCCTTTATTAAAATTGTTGTGGTTTTTCAAATCTAAAATAGTGTTTTTGCTAATTATAGAATATATTTTCAAAATTTATTGAACCATGAGCTCAATATCTTGCTATATTTTCAAAAAAAGTGCATCTTTTAAAAGTTATGGCTACCTTGATAGAAAAAACTCTAATCCAGTTTTAAATAGCTTTTAATAAATACTTATCATTACACAAATAGAAACAAAGTCAATTTACCAAGTAACACTGTGAAGGTTTCAATGGCAAAAAGAAGAAGCGAGACCAGTTTTTCAGGCTGAATGAAAGTAGAATAAATATATTTGATATACACAAGTCAATAAGAATGTTTTCTTACCCAATTGAGTTTTCAATTAATAATTTAAAAAATAGAAATATAGACTAGCTCCTAGTCATGGAATTATGATAAATGGATAGGAATAAATGTTAAAAAAGTAATTAAATTTTCAATGCTCTTCATATTGGTTAGATTGCAATCATATGATACTTCAAACTTATTCACTGCTTTTCAAATATTAAATTTTACATTTCCAATCTCCATACTTTCAAATATGGCCATAAAATGTAAAAAATTCAAACTTACAGTTTATGGAAGACAAAAAAGAAAATTTGGCAAATTTTCAATGTAATGAGCTTCTTTATGAAAAATATATCATCCACAAGAATATTTAATTCATCTGGTCAATTGAAAATATATAATTATTTTCTTTCAGATTTGAGGAAATTAGTCTGTCTGGATCTTGAGAAAGACAATCTCTTCTACAAATGACAGGACTAGATAATACAAAATAGAAGAGAGAGATGCAACGGATAATGCTGAAAATGAAGTTAACATGGATGAAGATGGTCTAACATATTCAAATGCAAATGATACTAAAATAACCGAGAATGGGATCATTGACATATTCCAAGAAATTGTGAATAATAACTTTCAAGTAATTAGGGTTGGAAGACAACTGGTCAAAAGTATAGATGTCTTGCAAAAAATTGTCATCAAGGAAAATCATTTATAAAGAGGAGCAAAGAACGCACTCATGGAGCAAATCAAAATTTATTATCTAACATAATAAATATTTAAGGGATTTGAGTTTATCACATATCACCTTAAATCCATTCCACAAAACTCTAGATATAGACGTATATCAGTAAGATTTTCTAATATTAATGTTTTTATTTTAGTACATTTTGATTTCCTCTGAATTTTATTAATAGGCTAAGTATAGTATAATTTAAATGTTCATTTTTTAAATTAATCTCCTTGTTGTTTTCTCACCCATTGGATAAATACTTTTCTACATTTTCACTACAATCAAAAATTTGTTGTGCAATTGGAGAAGAGAGTAGAATACTTTGAAATATTGATTGAGAATATTGTTGAACAAAATATAAAGTATTATATATCCTTAAATTGTTGTTTTCTTTAAACACTTCATTCAAAGTTTTCTCCTCATTTAATGAAGTTTTCAATATCCAAATTATTTGTTTAGATTTGTTCTCAAACTCTTTTATTAGATATTTAGCTGAAAAGTATTCCTGAAATGATAAATGATAAAGTTGTAATTCATTAGTCTCTAATTTAGCAGGAATGATGTCAATTAATCCATTTATACACTTTTCAATGTTTTTTTCATTATTCATAGAAGGGTCAAGTATAATATTACTTTTTGAAAGATTAATAAAACATAATTTGTATATATCATCCATGTTCATATCCATTTTATTTATGGTCCCTAAATTATTCTTTTTTACTACACTAACAAAATCTGGGGTCGGGAAGAAACGTCCTAGGGTGGGAAAAAAACATCCTAAGATGTTCATCCTCAGATTGAAATTGTTCTCAATCCAATTTAGGCTGGGGTTCTTTGCCGAACAATCAAAAGGATTGATGCCATTCAACCTAAAGACTCTTAGTTCTTCTTGCAGTATTATAACCACCATGTTTTTGCGGAAAGATGTACTTCCTGTCCATTTAAACATCATCTAGGTTATCGCTGATTGTTTGATGTTATAGAATTTTTTTTATTTTGGTGCGATTATTTGCCATGAAATCCGCTCTTTTTCTAACTGTTTAAACTTCACATTTTCTTTTCAGCCCCTTGATGAATTGTTTTAAGGCATACACCTATTTTTATTTTTTGCAAAATCTGTCACCTTTTCCTTACCGTAAACTTTAGCCTACCAGACCGTTTTCTCCCAATGCCTACATTCTAGATTAGTAAAGAGGATAACAGGATATCCTCACAGATAATGCTGTATATTCAGATTTTCAAAACAACAACATCAATTACATTTGATTGTCAAGATGACAATATTTCTCTATCAGACTCAATGGAGGATTTAATGGATATTTACGTCAGAAAAATGTTGAATGATCTTATGGTATTTTAATTTCTGCAACTTTTATAAAAATCATTTATTGTCATAACACTTGTATAAATCCATCGTTGCTACTCTGTAGTCAATATAAACTTTAGATCAATATCCAACTGGCCTTACTAGTATTGTACAATTCTAAACTCATGTTCATAGCTACAAGCCTAATATTACTAAACAAAAAGTCAATATCGAATGGGAATTATAGGTGTTGATATCTCAAACAAAATGGCATCTAAAAGTAAGGGTATCAAGTTGAAAAAATTGCCTAATGGATATACAAGAATTTTTCAAGTACTTCAAAATTCTTCTAATACCTTGAAATCAATTAATTTCCAAGGTTATAATTTGGATAAGGAGAATTGCTTAAGTATTGCTCAACTATTTAGTCATTGCTGTAAAATTGAACAGGTTAATCTATCGGAAAGTCAAGGTATTGAGAGCAATTTATTAATAATTATTAAAGAACTTCAACAATCTTCCAAAACTTTAAAATACATTGATATTACTGGTTGTAATTTTGATAAAGATACTTGTGAAAAATTTGGTAAAATGTTGTCAAATTTTACTGTACTTGAAGAAATTTATATTGGAGGAAATCCGAATATGGGAAAAGGATTACATAGTATTTGTAAAGGACTTGAGCTATCTGCAAATACTTTGAAAAAGATCAGTTTGTATAATTGTAATTTGAATGAGAAAAAATGTAATTTAATAAGAGACTTATTATTTAAATGTTCAAAAATTGAAAAAATTAATCTTGGTGAAAATGTAAATATGGGTAAGGGATTATTAAATATTTGTGAAGGTCTTCAAATATCTTGTTCAAGTATAACATTCATTCCATTAAAAAACTGCAATTTAGATGAAAGTGTTTGTTATGGTTTGAAAAATTTATTAGAAAATTGTTCACAAATTAATGGAATATTTCTGGAAAAAAATAGAATGTTAGGTTATGGTTTACTTGAAATTTTTGACGGACTCTTAAAATCTAGTAAACATTTAAAATATATATATTTAAATTTTTGTCAATTGAATGAAAATATGGCTATTGCCTTGGGGAATCTTTTAAAAAGCTCTTGTACGGTAGAAGAACTCTGTCTACAAGGAAACCCTGATATTAGAGAAGATGGTCTATTGAGTATTGTAAAAGGTCTTGAATATTCTTCAACTACATTAAAAGAGATTGACCTTGAAGGATGTTGTCTAACTGAAAACATGTGTGTACATATTGGCAATTTATTGGCAAAATGTTGTCAAATTCAAAATATTTATCTAAAGGAAAATTGTAACATGGGAAATGGATTTAAAAAAATATGTGAAGGATTGGAAAAATCATGCAAAACTTTACAGATTATTGACATAGAAAAATGTAATTTAAATGAAAATGTTAGAAATTGTTTGGTAAATTTATTGAAAAAATGTCAAAATATTGAAAGAATATACCTTAGTTATAATCAAGATTTGGAATTGGACAGTATTTTTAAAACACTTCAAAAATCATCATTATCATTAACGATTTTAGATATTGCTAATGGTAATATTGATTCTAATTATTGTAGGAATCTTGTGGACCTATTAAAACTATGTATCAAACTAGAAGCTATATTCTTTGAGGTCAATGAATGGAATGAAAGTGAAATATTTGAAATATGTAATGCAGTTAGAAATTCATCTGCAACACTCAAGATTTTATGTTTTGAAGATTGTCAATTAGATGAGAAAATGTTTATTTGTATAGGAGAATTTTTAATGGATTGTCAAAATATTGAAGAGTTGCATATTGGCTGGAATTATAATGGTAAAAATGGAATTTTTAAAATATGTGAAGGTCTAGAAAGGTCATCTCATGCTTTAAAAATTATTGGCTTTCAAGCTTGCAATGTAGATGATTCTATATGTGAAATTATTGGAAATTTATTACAGAATTGTTCACAAATAACAAAGGTTCTCCTGTCAGATAATACAAATATAAAGAGAGGATGGAAAGCTATATGTAGAGGTCTAGAAGGGTCTATAAATACATTACTAAAGATTGACTTTACCAAGTGTCAAATGACTAAAGCCAATCAGAAAAAAGTAAAATATCAATTTCCATCAAAAATACTAAAATTCTAACTCACCAATCTAAAGATCATTTTAGTCAATATATATTTATTATATGAATACCTGATTTGAAAAATACAAGAGCAATTGAATCTTTTATATTTTGTTTTCTCATAATTTCTTAACACATACCAGTTTTCATTTTTATCATCTTCATTAATGGAAGCTATAAATATTCAAAAAGAAATAGTAATTAATCTGAATTGCATATTCTACTATTGCACGGATGTTGACATTTGCAAATTCCATTATCGTACCAGCCTTTATTGTGTAAGCAAGCATTAAAACTTTGGCAGGATTCTAAACAAACATAATGTTCACATTCATCCTATATTTGTCATCTAAACAATATTCTTAATATGGAACATTTAATACTAAAAGAAGCAAGTGTTTTACCTGCAAAATTGATATTTACATAAAAATATATAATAATTAACTTATAGTAATAGAGTTTTGTCATTGAAATTCAACTGTAAATTGTTACTTAGTTGGTAAGGATAATATAGTAATAATACTTTGAAACCTTTTTAATACTTGGTATGACCACCCTTATTGAAAAAACACAGCTGTAGCCTCTTTCTAAAACTATTAAACAATTTTTCAACATATCCAGTTGGAATATTGTCAAAATCTTGCTGTGTTACCCTCCATAGATCATCTACATTTGTACACATGTGTTTACCAACCCTTCCTTTTAGGTATGACCATAAATTTTCAATAGGATTTAGGTCAGGACTCTGGGCTGGCCAGTCTTGCAAGTGCCTTATCTTGTTTTCATCTAGATACCTTAAAGTATCATCCTGCATAAATACTTGTTCCTATTGTAATTTTCTAGGAAAGATTTATCAAGAATTTCTTGATATTTTTCCAAATCTAAATTGCTTTTG